GCTTCTTGTCCTGCCTTCAGGTGCTTTGGAGAGTAGCTTGACTCCCTCTTCTTTGTGGCAGCCGTTGAGATATTAAATCTGTTAAAATATTAAATTATCAGACTTTCACTGGGCAGAGTCCACTGAGCCTATTATGTTGGTACTTATGAGGCTTTGATAATTTCATGCTCATGGCACAGTGTGGAACTTTGTTATCCAAGTTATTGTTGTCTTTTGTCCTTCAGAACCTTCACGTATCTTGTGTAATCTTCATTGGCTTTTCATCTGGAGGTCTTGAGGAGTTTCCAAAACATAAATCTGAACACCTTTTCTTATCTCTTGATAAGTCCATACCTGAGCCTTTGCTTCTCCAATTCTACAGCCACAACTGAGCCAAGCTCGCACTACCTCAAAAACATAGTCCCTCATTGGGACTCCCTCCGGAAAGACCTCTATGGGACCATACCCTCCCTTCTTTCAAACATTGTCTCACTTTGTTAAATTCTTTCCCAGTGAGGAACAAATGCCCTTGAATTTTAGACTGCATTCTCTGAACAAAGGCAAACCCTTTGCTCATGTTACTTTATCTAAAATAAAATAACATGAAGATGATTCTTTAATGGCACTATACACGTAGTTAAGTTGAATGAACTTGCCTAGAAAGAAAGAACTATGCAGTGCTCTTGATTGGAAGCTGTAGTATCAGTAATCTTCTTGGCAATCAGATAGATTGGCACAGACACTCGGTGCCTTGTATGTCCTGATCAGCAGAAATTATTAGCTAATTAAATTATAAGCTGTACTTTAATAAATCCCATTCAGTTCTCTTTAGACAGAGTATTCCACAATGGTGATTTCAGCTATGAGAGTGTTTGAGGCAGCAGAGTAGAATGGACATAACCTATCTTTTGCTAGAGATAGGTGGCTTGGGCACCATCTTTATTTTGCTGCATGTGGATTTCATTTTAATCAGAAGAGTTATAAAGCGAGCTTTGCAGTGTAGAAGGAACGGTGGTTTAGCTAAGAATTAACTCCCTAAATTTGCTAAATCCATAGTATTACTAGCTAGATAAACACATTTGAAGAAACTCACCTAAGGAATTAGTGTAAACGCGTTATTTCTTTCATTGATTTTAGTTGAGGTACCTCATGATTGGATTCTAATTCATGGATAAGTAATAGGGACAGCCACATTAAATCCTCTTTCTTCTAACATTAAAATCTCTTCTAGAATTGTGGGGACATTCCAGAAGAATGGATACAGTAGTATGGAAAAATTAGAAAACTTTTCTCTCTTTTTTATTTCCACCAGTTTGAAAACATTGTTAGACTGTATTTTTCCCCATAAAGAAAACAGTTTTGTACACAGAGCAACTGGTTGCACATTATTGTGGCAAGGACCAGAATTCCTTGGTAGAATAAGTGCAATATGAACCGAAGACATTTTCAATTAATATCAGCTACCAGGAGCTGAGCAAAGTTCTGCCTATTAACCTTCAGAGCTCCTGCCTGCCACACGCAACTTCCTCTGTCTCTATTTTCTTCCTCTTTCGCCAAAGATTTTAGACAGTGGGGTAGCTAGGTAATTTTATTCCCTGCGTTTAATAGTTTTATGGATTATCCAGTCACTCAGCTTTACAGTGGACATGAGGAACACAGTAAATATTTCTTCTTCACTATGCTGTGCATTTTCTCTATTTGTCCATTACAATGTATTTGCACTTTTTAAATCAACCTTGAGTTTTTAAGCATAAACAGAAGGAATACACTCTGTGCTCTTTTGCATTTAATTTGCTTTCTTATTACTGCATTTTTTTAAAAAAAAATTATTATAGATGTAGATGTAGAAAAGACCGATCAAATAAAAAAAACTAGACTTGGGAAGTTCCCATTTGAGAAAAATAATGGATGGGGTTATATGGAAGAGGCATTTAAAATCATGTGTGGCATGGAAAAGTAGATATAGAGAAGATTTTTTTTTCCTTTCACAGTGTTAGAAGTTCAGATTCTATAGTGAAGTTAAATACGAGCAGATCCAGGATCAATGAACGAAAGCCTTGTTCTATGTAATGCATGACTTCAGAATTGATTTCTGTCAGATGTAGTGATGGCCACTGCAGTGAGGAGGTTGTAAACAGAAACCAGGCAGCACCAGGCCCAATTTGGCTGATCTCAAAAAACTAAGCAGAGTCACTTCTGGCTCAAAGTTGGGCATATTTAATTGTGGCTGTGTCCATGAAATCACCAAAAGTCAGACTTAGAGAAATTCACTGACAATAGGGCTGGTCATGATGACTGGCCTAAATGGCTCTATTATTACCTTCTAAGTTATGCCCATCATCCCACAATATCATGATTGATGGGAAGCCTTAAGGGCAATATTCTCTCTTTCCAGATGTACTGGCTACCTATGGGCTTCTTACTGTTCTTTGTTTTAAAAATAGATAGATATAGATATATATTGCCGGCCTTCAAAAAAGCTATTAAAACTCTCCTGTTCCGGCAGGCCTGGGGTTGATGTCCCCGGGGGGGGGGGCGGGATTCATTTGGGACATGCTGTGTGAATGTATTCATTTTTAATTGTTTTACTTGTTGTTTTAATTTTGTACGCCGCCCTGAGTCCCTAGGGATTGGGCGGCACATAAATTTTACAAACAAACAAACAAATAAATAAATAAATAAATAAATAGACATATAGATATAGTTGCCTAGCTGGCAACTTCTGACTACATATAGAGTTTATGTCTGTCTATCTGAATGTCTATCATCTATCTATCTTTGAAAACGGATAAAGGAAAGAATGATGTTATAACAGCTGCATAATGATGTTATAACCTCTAACAAAGTAGAAGTTTTGGTTTCTGAATTGTTTGAACTGTACTCCAAAAATGAGCATTTTTTGATGAGAAGAATGTGGAGAAATAAGACAAGATTCTTTCCCTTTAGATGGAACTTCTCCCCTTTCTTAAACGTGTAACTGAAAAGTGGTCCTTTGTGTTTGTCCACAACCACACATTCCAAACATACTTAAAGGCAGAAGTACTAAACATTTTATATAACCAGCAAGAAGCTTGATTTATGGAGTAGTCGCTATTTACGTTTCAAGACTTTCGAAACAGTTGTTCAATCGTTTATTTATATTTACATTCAAAAGATTGACAAGCCAGAAATGCCCTTGTCAAAGGAGTATGTCCCTAAGGAAGCTGCCCATTTCTGATGTTTACCTAGAAGAAAACCTACCACTGAATTTTGAAGTATATATTCCTGTCCTGTTCAGCCTTTTGAGGTTGCTGCTCCAACCTATCCTGAACATGAAAAACATCCCAAAGAGTCCACTTTTTAATTTGAATATTAAAATTGCTCTCCTCTCTCTTCAGCCCTTTTCTTTTTCTTCCGTGCTTCTTGATTTACTGTTGCCTCCTCCATTCAAAGAAAGCTGTCGTCATCTTATCCTTGATGAAAAAAATAACTGATATCAGTAGCTGAAAGTTGAAATCAGCACTGCTGCTATCTAATGGCTATATTGCCTTTCACTAGCTTGCTGAATAGTTGCTTCTCTGATCTCCCATCTTCTCTCCAGCAAATGGCATGCAGTGGCCGATGCATAATAACTTGTCCAACTAGTGTTGTGAATTAAAAATGAGAATTCGTCTGGGGTCAGTGTCACGGGTCAAGAAATGGATTTAGATGCAAGTAGCCATGTTGAATTTCTGCTAACTGCTCCTTACCTATTTGAAATGATGTGGTTGTGCAGATTGCACTCCAGAAGATGATAAATAACCAGCTTGTCCGGGCAGCTAATCACTGATTGGCAGGGGGAAAAGAGCAGTGGATAATAAACTATCAGAAGCTCTGAATTCCAGTCAGTCTTGGAAAATCATTTACAGTAGGCATAGCTGGTAGCATCTCTAAGTCCAAAAGGCACTTACTGTATTCTGTTGTCTCCTCAGTACTTGTGGGAGGTAGACTAAGCTAAGAATGGGCTATGTTTCCTCCCCATTGGACAATGCTTTGAAATCTTCTAAGTCAGGGGTAGGCAATCTTGGCTCTTTTATGACTCATGGACTTCAACTCCCAGAATTCCTGAGCCAGGCAAGCTGACTCAGGAGTTCTGGGAGTTGAAGTCCACTAGTCATAAAAGAGCCAAGATTGCCTACCCCTGATCTAAGCAATCAAAGTACTGTACTTTTATTCAAGCTTACAACAATTTGTGATCTTACAAGCTGAATGCAGCCTATTAGACATTTATTCTGAAATCTCCATGTTCCTCCAGTTTCATGCAGGCTAAGAAAACTCTTCTACAGGCAACCACTGCCACTGGACAAGTGCTTTGTTTACTAATTCACAAGATTATAATCAAAACAAATTAGCATAATTCTGCTAATCTACTGGCTCATTTTTGCATAAACCAACCATTTCTTTTTTAAAAATATACAGTATTTCATCCTTTGTTTAAGGCATATATATCTTGCATTTTTATTTCCACCTGGGCAGTCCCTGGATTAAGAATGTCCAATTTATGAACAACTTGTATTTATGAACAAGCTGCCTATTACTAAAAATGGCAGTGTTCCCCTTTGAGTCGAGAAAACGCTGATGCCCCGCCATGTGTTGATGAACACTGAAGCTGCGCATTTTTAATATAAAGCTTGTTTTCAGCTGTTCGTGAAAACATTCAGTGGTTCATTGGCTCAAAGGAGAACGTTGTCCATCATTTTTAGTAATAGACCATCCATTTGTAAGTACAAGTTCCAACTTAAGTACAAATTTGAGTTAAAGACAAATTTAGGAATATAACTCATTTTTAACCAGGGATTGCCTGCATTGCAATACAGAAATATCCTCACATTTTGACTCTGATTAATCCTAATAATGCTGATAGATCCGTTCTGTAATATGCCCTTGTGACTCTTTTTCTTTTTATCTCCAGAATGTGATAAATGCAGCTGTTTGAGCTTAATGTGGGCATTGTTTCCTGACTAGAGTTTTAAAACTAAACACGGGTTGTCTATTCCCTGCAGATTTTAGCCAACTTGGAACATGGCTTAGCAGAAGATGGAAGCATGATCAACATTACACAGGAGAACAGGCAAGGTAGGTATCATCTAAAACTTTTTTTTTCCATAGACAGGGTATTTTTATCACTTGCTCAGAAATGGTCAGAAGCTCTTATAAGATTGCTCAGAAGCAGTGCTATTGTCGTTTCTGTAGCTTGTTCAGCCTTTGAAGCTATGCACTTGTACTCTGCTAAAATTCATTTTAATTGTATTGTTTTAATTAATATTTTAATTTTATTTATTTAATTAAATAAATTTATTAAATTTATTTATTTAATTTTAATTTTATTATAGCGATGCATTACATCAGATCATCCCTTAATATTTTGGAAAAAGAAAACGGGTGCTGTTGTAGAGTGACAAATGTATTATTAGAAAAAAAGTGATCGCCAAAAGAGTGTTCAGTCTTTTAAAAAGTCTAGCGTATTATCTCCCAAAAGTTCTTTCTGGGATTGGAGGATCTTGTTTGAACCAAAAGTGGCTTCTGATAAGTTAGTGTCTGCTATTTTTTTCCTGGTTTTATTTTTTGTTAATTAGTTAAAAACAAACAACAAAAATAGCAAAAACAAATGGAGACATAAACTTTATATTAGAGCAAAGGCTGAAGAGAAAATATGATTATAAAGAAATTAAAAAAGACAGAACAAACCCCCCAAAAGGAAAAAAGAAAAAAAATAGGAAAAAGCATTCTAGTAGTCTCCTTCTCTTTTCTCCCCTTTTTTCCTCCAGATATTTTTATGTTGTATTTGAAAATCTGCAGTTATTGCTTAGTTCATATTCTAAGAATCTTATCTTGCTGTGTGACATGCTTTATATAAGGGGCTCACTCTAACATCTCACAAGAGGTTAGCTATTTATATTTGCCAATAATTTCTCATCTATAAGATGCTTCTTGTGCTGAGAGCTACCGAAGTATTTTGGGACACAACCTGCGTTTGTATCTATTCCAAATTCTCCATATGGTATGTCTAACATAATGATTTTTAAAATCCACATTAAACTTAACTTTATTAAACTACAGAAATCCATACCTCCCAAATCTCAGGTTGTGTTCTTCTAACTCCAACAGCCTTCTCTTTCTCAGCAATGCTCAGTGTTTCATCCAATCCAAACTGCAAGCTGCAAAACACAGTTTTGAATCACGTAAAGCCACTCCTCCTCTTTCCTTTGCATATTATATAACACCTTATAATTAACTTGTTTTTTTGCCCTATCACACAAATTTCTGCCACTGTGTAAATGGTGAGGAAGACATTCATCTTTATCACAGAAATTCTATCCGACAACGACAGTTGTATTTTCTTGCATCTTAACATGTGTTTTTAACTTCACTCCATTTAATAGTTATTTTGAAATAACATACAATTCATAATGATACCCAAATATTTTACTTTCTTCTCAATTTTAAACCCATTTTATTCGTCAGTTCTGTTGATCTTCTGTCTTTCTGGTTTTTCTTAACCAGTTTTCTTAGCCAGTTTGGTTTAGTGATTAAGGCACTAGGCTAGAAAGCAGGAGAATATGAGTTCAAGTCCCACCTTAGCCATGAAAGCCAAATGAGTGACCTTGGGCTAGTCACCTCACAGGATTACTATGGGGAAAATAGGAGGAAGAAGCAGTATTGTGTATGTTTGCTGCCTTGAGTTATTTATAAAAATAATAAAGGCAGGCTACAGATTAGATAAATAATAATTTTTGTCTTCTGTTTGTTGATTTTAAAACCTGCTGGTGCACCAAATCTATTAATTTTCCCATTAATATTACAATTTTCTTTAAAGGAACCAAAATAAACAAGAGAGGAGAGATTGAGCATCCCTACCTTTCCCCCCCCCTTTTTTTTGTATCACAAGGCTTTCTTAGATTTCTATTAATAATTATTTGTGCTTTCTGTGAAGTATAAATTGATCTTACCATTTTATAAAATTCTCTCCAAAGTGCGTACCTTCCAAAACTTTGAACAAAAAAGCCCAGTTCAAATTGTCAGAAGCCTTTTCTGCATCTAAGAAAATCAGTGTGGTTTATTTTTCATTATGATTCAGTTGAAACCTCTGCTGTTTGAAAGTAAAAATCACACCTTCTATTTTGTCCTGTTGAAATGGAATCCTTTCCTAATCTGTTAGTCAAAAAAGTTTACTCTTTTCTCACACAAAATTCTAACAGGAATTTCTTTAAGCACAATTACATATGTATTATCAGTCTTCAATCTTGTATTAAAATGGTGCTTGAAAACTTGATCTTTTGTCTTCTTCCTGACAAAGGGAACCAAAACATCCTTTAGAACATTTCTTATTCTTGCAAATATTGTATTTATTTTATATATTTTATCAATTTCAGCCCCTGAATCCTCCTCATTCAGGTCCAAAAAGTTTGCTAAAGCTTTAATAACTTTTTTTTCTCTAACATCTTCACTAGAATTCTCTGGAAATGCTGTAAATCTCAAGTAAAGTTTCTTCATTCTTAATTCCAAAACAGCCAAATTATCTAGCTTTCTTTCCAACTCCCTGTCTATAAATTCTGACTTCCTCTCCAGAATTTCCACTTTGTCATTAATTCATTTTACATCGCCAGACACTTGTTTTACAGAGCTTTCCATCTTCTTAACTTCTTTCATTTCCTCTTTCATCTTTACAGCTCTTTCATCTGTTTTTTTTTAAGCTGTCAATTTAATATCAAGTGATTTTGCTAAATGTATTGCCCAGTTGTGCAATCATTTTGGCTTGTGCAATCTTTCTGGATAAAGGAGTTATTGTGAGATTTCCCACTTGTATTCTGGACAGCTATTCCTCATAAGCAGCCTGCAAGAAGTGAGAGGTTTGTGGTCAGCTAATGAGTTGAGTGCCTGGTGTCAATGGGCACCCTTTTTCCCTCATGTAAAACTGTAAAAGTTTTGGGTAGATTTTTTTGCTCTTTGTGTTTATGTTTCATAAACAAATCACATGACCACAATGGGTCATGTGATTAGGAGGGAGGAGAAGAGAGCAGGCAGTGATTTACCAAATTGCTGCCCTTTCCCAGATTATTTGGTGGAATTTTTCTAGATTTTTTTTTCTTTTTGGTCTATAGCTGAACCTGTCCCATTTTAGGGCTAGTTCTTCCATTTGCTATTTTAAAACTTGTTTTTTCTTCTCCTCCTGCACCAAATTGGGTCTAATTCTATTTTCAGAATAGAAAAGTCAGGATCAGAAAAAGAAAAGGAGGCGAGGTTGTTGTGCAGGAATACAAGCTAATTTGAGGCCTAATCCACATGGAGCTCCATTTCCATCTGTCCTGTTTGCCATCGTTTGCTTCCTAGAGACTATAATGGACGATCTGAAACTTGAGCTGGCCACAGACAAGAAGTATATATCGGAGGTGGTGGCCCTTTGAGAGCTATATGCAACGAAATTTCATTTTGATGTATGCTAATTGGTGTACATTCAAACTGACAATAAAGTTGTTGTTGTTATTATTATTATTTTCAGAGACATGGTCTGTTGATGACTGATCAAGAGTATTAAATCCCATTACATATTTTTTTTCCAACATTCCAGTTGGCTGGCAAGATTCAAACTTAAATTTATTGAAATACGATCAGTGACCCACCAAATTATTTTTAAAAATCCCTCAGAAACAGTGATCCTATTATAGTCATTGTCATGTTCATATAATGCTGAAAAATTAAGAATCCAAAATCAGAAAACGAGGAACCTTGACTAAAACACTAAAACAGCATGAAACATAAGATAAAAGAGAACTGCAATAAAAGAAAGGAGAAATGAAAGACTTCATACTGTAACTGCTCCACGATCAGAACATCTTATATCAGGGGTCTTCACACTTGGCCCTTTTATGACTTGTGGACTTCAACTCTCAGAATTCCTCAGCCAGCGTGCCTGGCTGAGGAATTCTGGGAGTTGAAGTCCACAAGTCAGAAAAAGGCCAAGTTTGAAGATCCCTGTCTTATATCTTCTTATGAAAATCACTGCTGAAAGAAACTGGTTGGAAAGAATAAAAAGTGTCACTTAACCAGCAACCTGAAATGGCTTTGGGATTAGCAGGCATTGGAAATATGCTTATTTTGTTTTACCAGCAGAGTGCAATAGCACTAATAAGGGGAAAAAATGTAAAGGTGATGAATACACTGATGATGGGACTGTGATGACCAGATATTTTGAAAGCTGCTTAAGACAGGGTGACCTTTGCTGACTGAGAGCTGCAATCCTATAAAACCTTGCTAGGGAAATTGATCTCATCATCTCCAATGAGGTTGATAGCACCATCCACTATAGCATGTCTATGCCAAAGAAAGTCTCAGTAAACTCTGTGGGGATTTACTCTTGGGTAAATATATGCATGATTGCGGTCTCTGTTTTTTTATGAGTAAATATATCTTGCCACAATATACAATTATCTTGAGATTGTTATATGGAGTAGACTTCTATAATAAGAGTTATATGGAATGACAGTTTTATTTCCACTTTGTACGGTTTACAAAATAGCAATGCTGGAGCAGTGCTAAAAGGCCCTAAAGTAGAAATTACCCTCTTCTACCCTCCTAGAATATATGAGCCAATTATTAGGAGAGTGATTCTGACAATAGTCATATTCACCAAATAATTGCTATCCCTCTGAAATTGGAGAAGGGAGCAAGGCTTCAAGATACAGAAGTTGAGGTAAAAACAGCAGTCGGCTAGATAAAGCTTGCTGCCTTGAGAGATGCCCTTTTGAAGAGATTGTGAGCTGCATACATTCTAAAATTCCCCACAAAGCTACCAGGTCTTCTTGGCAAAAGGGAGATCATTAAATCTAGAGTCTCTCCCATCCCACCACTTCACTATCTCTACCCAAACTTGCTCGGAGTATTTTCTGACTGCTCCCTGAGCTTTAGACCGGCTTTTCCCTCTCTATAATAGTGGGTTGTAATTCCTGCAACATCCCATTGATTATAGAGTTATGGATCATGGAGCCCAAGTCACCTAGAAGTCAACACCTGAAGGAGAACCCTTGTCCTTTGTCTGGGATGCTCCTGCTCTCTGTTCACGCTCCCCTTCGCCACAGCTGCTTTGCTAAGTTGAGCAGAGCTTGGCCAGGGATGAAAGGCAGCCAGCGGAAGCCGGGGAAGGAGCGAGCTTCAAGCATCTGTGAGTGGCTGTTATGTGCTTGGAGTGCAGTGGCATTACAGCTGTCTGTCTGCCTAATGTTGCCCAGAGGACACTTGTAAGGACTGATGGCATCTCTTCCCGAGAAGGGCAATCAGATCTTCTCCCTGCAAGGGGCTCGGCTGCACTTCTGAGCTACAGGGAACTTTCTGTGTGTGTGTTTTTGTTTGGTTGTGAACTTCACTGAAGAAAGCCCTTTGTGTTTTTGTTTTGCGAACTATGACTGAAAACAGCTTTGGTTTTTTATGGGATTAGATCTGCAGCATAATGTCCCTATTGCTGGTCTAAGTAAGTGTTGCGGAAGCCCGCTTGTGGTGTTGCCTCTCCTCAGTAAAGGAGAACTGCATCTCATTCTCCGTTCAGTGGGAAGAAAAAGATTTAGCATTGCACCATTTTCTTGGCAGCTTTTCTCCCTTTCTTTCTCTATCTTCTTCCTTCCTTCCTTCCTATCTGATACCCACTTTTTTTTTTGAAATACAGAAAAGAGGATTGGACAAATATACAAAAATATGGCCTAAAATTAAGAACTGCAGATAGTATCTATTGTCCTTATATAAGATGGCAGATTTTTTTTTAGCTAGAACTGAATAATATATTCTTACTTGTTTTTATATTTTTAATCATACATTTTACTAATTTGTGAGGACACAGAGCTTTTCAGATTCTTACCACATCTTAAAGGTTTTGCTCCATTAAAAAAAACCCGTTTTATACTGCCTTCATGCAACTCCCACCAGCGTTAATCTTGGTGACTTCTGTAGAGGCTTGAGCCCAGGTCTGCATTTTTACTGGTTTGCAGTTTGTTTGTTTGTTTTGCAGTGTGATTGGACAAAAAATATTATTTCATTTTTTTTAATTGTTGCTTACCAATACATTGGAGAATATATTTTCAGAATTGTCCATATTTACATGAACTCTAACGGCAAAGTGTCCTTTTGAATCAATCAGAATAAATACATTTCTGCTAGTCTTGGATAACGCATAGAAAAAAGGTTTGTAAAGCAAGTAAAAATATATTTCACAACAGGCAAAAAAACAGTGATGCTTATTTCACTGCAGTTCTAACTATTCTTTTCCACAGCCCTTTTTGCCATCCTATCCCATAGCAGACAAGACCAAGTATAGGGATGTCTGAAAGCAGTCAGATTGGTGACCTGATTCTATATTTTAATTTAAAAAAAAAAAAAAACAATTTTCACTGAAATGGGTGTAATTTCCTAAGTGCACCTAGAATTGCTGGACATGTTAAAATCCCCTTTGATCAGAGTGTTCATTTTGCAACATAATAAACACCTTTTCCTGGCAGGGCAGCCTTTGATCCCTTTAAGCTCTGCAAGATCTCCATGAGCCATGTGTTCTCTCACACGAGGAGCCAGCCTCTAAACCGAGGGAGTGAGAAATTGGCTGGTGCTACAGGCAGCAGCCTTTAAACCCCAGGAGCTGCTGTAGCGTAGGAGTGGCAGAGAAGCTTGGCAGGTTTTTCCAGTCTCCTAAGCCTAACACATAAGTGCAAGACCCCAGACCAAGATAGCCCTGAAACCTTCCTGCTCCTTGCCAAAAATGAAGTAGTGTTTTTTTGTTTTGGTTTTTAAGCATCAGTCAGTAAGAGAAGCGGAAGGGTGCACATTTAATGGCTTAAATCAGATGATTGCTCATCAGTAGTCCTAATTAATGACTTGGTGTATGCCTTTTCTGTCTCTCTCTCTCTCTCTCTCTCTTTGTCTTCCTCCCTGCCTTTTGTTCTCTTAAACGATTGCTTCCTTGCAGAATTGCCAGAGCTCAAAGCGGAGAGGTTGTTTCCCAGCTTTGTATTATGCTTCATTTATTCAGACAGTCTGTTCCTCTCCCCAATCAAGCCTCTCTCTATTGAATGGGTGCAGGTTTTTCAGAGCAACATGGCAGAATGTTAGAAACACTGTGCTCAAAATGTGGGGATGTTAACGAGGGGAAATTGTTTCAGTTGGAATACATATGACCGATAATTGATGGCTAGGGAAAGAGCTTCTAATTTATTTGTGCACATTCACAAGCTGCTCTCATTTTACAGCCTCTGTTCAGCTGTGGAGGTCACGTCTGGGCCGGGTGATGTACTCCACAGCAAACTGCCTGCTAATGATGAAGGTAGGTGGGTGCTCTTGCTGCAGATTTACCATATATACTCGAGTAGAATGTCAAGAGAGGCTGAAGAGAAGGTAGATTGCCGTTTGCAGTCATGGGGGGGCGTAGCTGGAGGTTCCTGCCGAAATCATTTTGGAGGTGAGAGAGCTGGCAACACAAAAGGACTGGATTTACAGGCTGCCACAGTTTTGTTTGGCTTTTGTATATTTGTTGGCAAGAGGTAGAAGCCAACTTGGAAGAATACATTTTGAATCAAGAACACGTTGATTCAAACAGTAGCAGGGTCAACATATCCCTTGTGTTCAGATCACATCCTAAAACTAGTGCCACCTATTATTCAATTATTGTGTTCCAATATTGTTTGTCCTGCAGACATTTACACTATCATTGATTTGAGATTTAGATGTGGTGGAGCCTAATATATACATATTGTGCAGCATCTCCATTTCTTTCTATTGCCGTTGGAAAAGAAACTGCAACAATACCTTTCCTGTTTTATAAATGCTCCCAAGCACAGAAATGTTTGGCTGCTAATAATACAACAACAGCAACAGATAATATCCATGAGGACTGTTTCACAAATCAGTTTCACCCCAAATCTCCAGAACTGTTTTCTTTTGACTTTACTTTTTTTTTTCCTTTTCACTTCTCTCTGTAGTAATAGCACTGGTCTCCACTTTCAAGTCCCAAGCTAAACCAGCTTGTTCTGCAATCTATAGGGACTCTATGAGGTTGAGTAAATTTCAGCTGAAATCTCTGTGAATGTTTGTAGTTTCTCTTTCAGGAGTACAATTAGTCTCCAAGTGAATTAATATCCCCTCATTTAATTTGTTCAGATGCCCTACTAAGGTCAGTGTCTTAATTTAATAAAGGGCTACGGACTAGTTCAAAAATTCATAACAACACTTTTCTTGGAGGAGTAGCTGAAGAAAAAAAAGCTGCATTTGACCAGTGCTGTTATTCAGAATCTCCCTACTTTTCAGTTTCCCTTTGCATGGCTAGTGTCACTTTGGAAGAATAAACATGATTTGTTATGAATTTCCTCCAAGATATAGATGAATGAGCATGCTGTCAGCCTTTACTTCCTTTTCTCAGCTGCATTTTGATTCTTGCCTGGAGGGAGTTGAGGCTTTCGAATCTGTCCAGAGAAGCATTTTTCTTCCCATCTGTCAATTTATGCAGATTTCCTTCAAAAAACAGTGGGAAGATGAAATTCAAGGACCGTTCAGCACTTCAGATTTGAGTCCAAAAAGCTGCTTGGAAGCATAGACATAGTCCCTTTCTACATCTCTTTCAAGCATCTGGATCTTTGTCTGGCTCACAGTCTTGGGAAAAGATGCAGCTGCTTTAAAGAAGACTACGTGCAGATTCAGAATCTAAAATGTCATAGAGCTCTATTACTTCTCTACAACCAGTTTATGCTGCCAGTAGACTCCCCAAGATCAGCAGACATCACAAGAAGTATAAAAATACTGTAGCCAGCTAATATAATTTTGCAAATCATATTGTTTGGTGTACTTCTTACATATGTTTGAATTAGCAACTGGTAAGATAGCTCACGTATACAAACACTAATATGATTACCAGATGAAATATACTCACTTAGAGCACTACAGGTAATCCTTGACTTACGACTACAATTGAGCCCAAAATTTATGTTGCTAAGCGAGACATTTATTAAGTGAATTTTGCCCCATTTTATGACCTTGTTGTTAAGTGAATCGCTGCAGTTGTTAAGTTAGTAACACAGCTGTTAAGTGAATTGGGTTTTCCCATTGACTTTGCTTGTCAGAAGGTCGCAAAAGGTGATCACGTGATCCTGGGACACTGCAGCCATCATAAAAATGAGTCAGTTTGCCAGCTGTCCGAATTTTGATCATCTGACCATGAGGATGCTGCAGTAGTGTGGAAAAATGGTCATAAGTCACTTTTTTCAGTGATGCTGTAACTTTGGACTTTGGTCACTAAATGAACTGTTGTGAAGTCAAGGAGTAGTGATCTTTGGACTTAGCTGTGAACTATTTTGTATGTTCACAAAATAGTTCACAATATAATAGCAGTATAACAAATAGCAGTATAACAAAGCAGTTGCAACTATAATACCATGTTTCCCCCAAAATAAGACCCAACTGGAAAATAAGCCCTAGCATGATTTTTCAGGACGCTCGTAGTATAAGCCCCACCCCAAAAAGAAGCCCCAGTTAAGATGGTCAGCCAGATGGATGCATTTAGTACTGTATGTCCCCCAAAATAAGACCTAATGGGAAAATAAGCCTTTATGCGTCTTTTGGAACAAAAATTAATACAAGATCTGATCTTATTTTCGGGGAAATACGGTATGGAGCTTACACAGGGTAACAAATTATTTGTGAAGAGGATTTCTAGTGTACTTGAGCACACTATTGCAAATTGCAAAAAAGAAAAAAAAAATGGTAAGTTTGCCCTTCCAAACTTCTTTTGGAAGAATGAAAGTATGTTTACAGCCACTTCCCGGGTCTAGGACAACTCGGTGCAGCCAACTCACCTCAGGACAACTCACTATGGCCAACTCACTGCAGGACAAGAGTTACACTAACATCGAAGAAATAGTGGAATAGAATCCTTAAAGAAAGGATGCCAGAGGAGGGACAAAATGAAATGTGAATAACAAAAATTGAAATATTTTTTAAAATTATTTTAAAGAATTGAATTGTTGAATTGTCCCATGGCACGTTGTCCCACGGTAAGTTAGCCGTGGTGAGTTCTGCAAAAAGCCTACTGCATGGAATTGTTTCCTTTCAAACTAATGATTGATAGATCGAAAACTACTATTTTTCAGTAGCCATTTGTATGGCTAGTACTCCTGAATTTCTATTTTAATGCAAATATTTGAGCATTTTCCTTGGAATGCACTACTGTTTCTAACAACCCTCAATAAACTGTGAAAAGCAGTTTTGATACTCTGGTAGCCACAATGTAGACTTTGCTCTCTTGAGCAAGTTGTCTAATCTGTAGTCTTCAGATCTACTATATCCATCACAGAGGAGTAGTTATTCTCTACCTTTGGATGAAAACTCTATGATATTTGACAAACAGATAGGTGTATTATAGAGCCTGGAATTTTCAGCAGCATAGGAATCCTGGAGGTATCATCATCCCAACTAATTTGGGGAATAGATAGTTGGAGAGATTAGATGGTATATATTAATAAAAGATGCTTTAGCAAAATAAGTCAGGAAGGGACAATAATTTTAAACAGAAAGGTTTCCTTGAAGAGTTGGAGTTAGGAGGTTTAAGGTGTGAAAAAAATGGCTCTGAAATGCACACATTTCGGAATCGGTTCTTTTTCTTTGTATTTAATTTTCTTACAGCGTCTCTTTTTAGTAGAAGCTGGACATCCGGTTTTCCCCCCTTGTATATAGTTTTTTTGTTTTGTTTTTTTGTTTGCTTGTTCCTTCACACAGCTCAATCTTTGTATCCCAATGCAATCTTGACTTTAATAAAAAGACATCTCTGAATGCAGATTTCTGAAACCATCTTATGAATCTAGCTTTCTGCCTGGTTTGCATAATGTTCAAGTGCTTAAGCTCTTTCTTAGTTTCCCTACAACTTTCTTTAGACATTGCCAAATGCATGTCATAACTTGGAGTTACTTTCCATCCACTCATTCCACCAAGAGCAAAGTTCACATAATACATTCAAAAGAGTACAGGTAGTCCTCAAGTTACGACCACAATTGATCCCAAATTTTGTTGCTAAGTGGAACATTTGTTGTGAGTTTTGCCCCATTTTACAACCTTTCTTGCCACGGTTATTAAGCAAATCACTGCAGCTGTTAAGTTAGTAACATGGTTGTTAAGTGAATCTGGCTTCCTCATTGACTTTGCTTCTCAGAAAGTCTCAGAGCTGATCACATGTCCCCAGGACACTGTAATGCCATGGTCATAAATATGAACCAGTTGCTAAGCATCTGAATTTTGATCACCTGACTATGGGGATGCTTCAGTGGTCATAAGGGTGAAAAACAGTACATTGTAACTTTGAATGGTCACTAAATAAACTGTTGTAAAAATCGAGGACTACCTGTACGATAAACTGAAATTTGAGGCATTAATACAATTCAGGGAACTGTACCCTTGTTGGGTTTTGTTTTTTATTTATTTAGGCCCTTCATACTCCCTTACACAGCTCCCAAACCATTTCTTTAACTTCAGAAGAATAAATGTGATGGGCTGAGGGGGATGGGTGGGCAAATATTCCAACAGCAAAGGTACTTTCAGTATTGTAGTTCTCTGCAAATGTACCTTCATCGTGGTAGGAAGCAAAAGCCCAGTGGAAATATGATTTGTAGCTGTTGCACTGACGTTGGGTATGTATGTATGTATGTATGTAGGTCTTTGGTTATTCGGGTTTTCTCCCACGTAAAATTGGAAGTGTCTTGGCGACGTTTCGACGAAGTCTCATTCGTCATCTTCAGGCTGGTGCTTTCGGCTTCGTGCTTCTAGGAGCAATGTGTGATTGTAGCTGTTTCCTCCTTTTAACTGCCAGTGGGGGTATGAACTGATTGGATGAGAGCTTGGTTGTGTTCTGATTGGATGGAGGTGTGTTCTGATTGGTTAGGAGCTTGGCTGTGCTCTGATTGGCTGGGGGGTTGGCTGTGTTCTGATTGGCTGGGGGAGTGTTCTGTTTGGGTGGGGGCTTTGTTGTGCTCAGGTTAGTCTGAGTTGCCGGGGGGTTTAAAATGGTGAGCTGCATTGCTAATTTTTGGCTTCTCTGATTATTCTGTTATTAAAATGTTCAGTTTGGGCGATAGTTCTGGTCTTTTTAAAGTCAATTTCATGTCCTGTGCAGACAAGGGCAATGCCACGGTGGTTATGAACACATCTGACTACCAAACCAAATTAACCAACCTACTCCAAGACTCTACATACAAACCCCTAAACACAGATCCTACCACCTACCTGGAAAAAACCACCAGATCAAAATAAAAGCCTCCCCCATTAGCGAAGAGATCCAGCAAAGAA